GAAAGGGCCCCCACCCGCATAATTCATTTTTATTTTTTCAGATTATATTAATCTCATTCTAAGCAATTCCAGGCTTTCCTTAAAGTTTGCTCCGTCACTGCCTTCCCTAGCACTCATTATTTGGAGAAATCAAGCTGTTGTCAAGTTGTTTCGGCGGCGCCTGGCGCTGTACCTGGAACTTGACAGCAGCCAACATGTTTCATAAATTAACACCCGTTTCCCCCCAAGGGATTAAATTTGGCGTGAATTCTCTTGAGACTCAAGTCTTTTTGGCAGAGCTGTTGAGTCTCACAGGATTTTGTCAAGTGTGTAAAGTACACTTCGAATCGCCGATTTTAAAACTGAAAGGGGCCTTACAGGAAAATGCAGTTCATCTCTCATGTTACAGATGAGACCACCAGGCCGAAAAGTGTGTAGCTTGATCGAAGTCCTACACCTCTTCAGTAACTGGACTCCGAGGCTCTAGATGCCTTCCTTGGTCGTTGCGCTCTCCACCAAACCAGGCGTGCGTTGCCAGTTTAACACACTACTGTAAAGACAGTCTGCCAGAGGTGATTATTACACTTCAGTTGATTTCGGTTATTGAGAAATCAGTCTTGGCCAGTGTGTGAGGGCTCTGGTATTTTAAGGAATAGGGTTGGCACTGTGTCTAGGTGGAATAAACTTCCTTTTAATGTGCTTTAGAGCTCAAAGTCCATCCCACCCCCACCCCCCAAAATATTCAGCCCTATTCTCTGCAAGAATAACAGGATTTGTAGCATTGGTTGCTTCTTTGGGTAAAGGTATCAAAAGACCTCTTTAGCAATCATGATATGTTTTTATTAAGGGTAAACTATTAATCCATTATCAGACATCAGCTCCTTAATAGGGAACAGAACACTGATGGCTAGGAAGTAGAATAGATGGGTTCTGATGGCTGGGAAATTATCAGGAAGCAGTGGAACATCACAAGGATGGCCAGCAAGCAAGGAGGAGACTTCGCATGACTTGCAACACCGTTCTGCCCAGCCCTGCCCTGAATGTCTTATTTGGAGATAGTGGAGGTGGATGCTCCTCAGGTTTGGTTGCTGTTTATTGAGTACCTGCAGTGCCTAGCTGCTTTCATAGATGAATTTTTAATATTTACGAAAAGGGGTTAGTATTGTCTCCATCTTACAAACGAGGAAACAGGCTCAGAGAGTTACCTGTCTTCGATGATGCTGTCATTTGCAGTAGAATACTGAAGCCTAGATCACTTTATCTCCCAAGTCTGGTCAGTGCTCATTTGCGTTAGATCTTGCTACCACTTCAGGCCGGGAAGGGGATGAGAGAATCGCCTGTGGCTGATTTATTGGCGCCTGTGGTTGCCCAGAGAAGCTGAGCAGGACTTTCAGCTGCCCTCTGTGCCTTAGAAAGTGGAGTTGTGTGCTTCCACCCTATCTCCTGAGGGGACTGCGAAGGAGCCAGGCTGTCTAGCTGGGGAGGAGGGGCCCAAGTGCCTTGGCCATAAATTATCCTGGCCAGAGCTGTGCTGGGAAGTGTTGCATAATGCCCTCCCCACCACTGAACCAAAGTGATTTATTTACTATGGTCCGTAGGTGGTGCTTGACCATCTTGTTAAAGAAAAATTTGCCATTTTAGTAATAACAGGGCCAGAAAAGAGTTGAGGGTTTTATATTATTGCAGGGTTTTTTTCTTGTCTTAAAAAGCAGTGCAGGTGCTCTTATCTTGATAAATTATGAAGTACTTCTACACCACTTCCTGTGCCCCCTTTCTGCTTCTTTATTCCAAATTGCATGTGACGAATGCTAAGAAAAATACTGTTCCAGTTTATAGTTACCAGCACCAGCTATGGAGTCAGACGTAGCTTTTGATCTCCACTTCATGCTATTTGCTAGTTGTGTGTCCTAAGCTTAGGTTTTTCCTCATCTGTATAATGGAAATAAAAATAATACGTATAGTCATGGTGAGGATTAAAAGAGATAATATACATGGAGCATTTAGCACATAGGCCTTGTACATAGTATCTACTCTTTATAATAGCAGCTATTGATAATGACTAGAACAGTATTTCCTCTAAGATAAAAAAAAGATACTGCTACTTGAACTTGCTTAGAGAGAATGGAGGAAGAGGAGAGAAGGTGTTTGAAGCAAATATCAATTTCAGAATTATTGGTTGCTTTTCCTTTGCTAGCAGAACTTTTTTCTCTTTTAACCTCACCTGGAGAAAAAAATGTTTATAGTGTTAAGTTAGTTATTTTTGAAAAATTTTCTAATTCATTTCTTCCCTGGTTACAAATCAATCATACAATGACTTTTTGTTCCTTCTGAAAAAGGCACCTTAAGCAAAGGGTTTCATTAGCCCATGTGGATAACGTGTTTGTGGAACGTTCCATGGCAAAGGAAGTATTGGTTCACCTATATTCAGAAGTTGTAATCATCCTTGTTTGTACTATTTCTAGGTCTATACTAGCATTGTTGTTTTCCAAGTTGCTCCTGCTTTGATTAGTTTATTTTTTCTTTCAGAAACACAGTCTTTATTTTTTTTAGTGGATTAAGAAGAATCTTTTCCTTTCCTTTACAGAGTTCTGATTTTTTTAGGTTCAGTAGTAATTTGCACTCACTGGTGTTAGCATTCTTGTTTGCCGGGTGTTGCGGCCTTATCAGGCATCCCACATGTTGGTTAGATGGGGGTTAGAGATGTAGTAGGTTGGCTGTGTCTGCCAACAGGCGGGAGGCCCCAAACTAACGTTCCCCTGTTCCGTTAAAGGTTTCTAGAGCATAACTGCTCTTCCTGTATCATCCACCACGTTGCTGCTTACCCTTTTCTCTTACATTCTCAGTGATTTTCATAAGCAGAGGCCTAGAATTACTGCAGATTTTACTTCAAACAATAATTTTCAGATTTGGACTTCCCGTGTCATTTTCAGATATGAAAATAGATGTAATGGCATATGAGAGAGTAAATATACCTTTCTCCTAAATACTTTTTTAGAAAGTCTGAAAATGGTGTGTTCCTCATCTGCCCCCAGAACCCATCCTACGAGCGTGGGAGTATTTCTGTTTCTTAATCTGGCTAATTTTTTTAGTTTAAAGTTAAAATTAGAATTACAGTTGGTGATTTTTGTTCATTTAATGAAACTGGGATAATTCCTGCATTTTGAGCACTTCTCATGAAATTGCTTCCTTTTCTCTGTAATTTTAGAGTGTGAAATAGTCTCTTGGGTTTCCTTGGTCCCTTGTTCTTCTAATGCAGTGGTTCCTAATTGAGGCATTATATTAGAATCACCTGAGGAGCTTAAAAGGGATCTGCACCTCATCAGCAATTCTAGTGTAGGACTCAGGCAACAGTACAACTCTACATGGAAGGTTTTAGAATACAGTCAGCAGTTGGAGCCACTATTCCAGGATGAAATGATTTCTGCAAATGTTCTTTCTCTCTCCACAATCATCTGAAAATACCATTAAAACGTTAAAATCATTGTATAAAGTCTTTTATTATGTGGCGCTTTGAATATTTCTGCTTTTACCTTTGTATTTGTAGCCATGAGTAAGTATCTCAAAAAAGCTGTACACATTTCTCTGTCAACTTTTTTGTCTCCATTTCTTAATGATAATTAATAATAAAGTCACAGTGGTAGGAACCACAAAGAAAATATCTAAGACTATTTGTTTTCCAGAGAAACAGATGTCTTACTCCTTTTATTTCTTCTTTTATGAAAGACTCTTAGAGCCTGCAAGAATGAAAAACTGTATTCTAGGACATCATCTTGGCTATCAGAGATCTGAGAGTCCAGTCTAACTAATATAATAGATTTTTTAAAATAAAAATCAACAATGTTGCCTATCAAGCTAACTTTGAATTTAAAAAAGCTGTGCTAGCTAATCCAGAGTTACTACAATCTAGAAAGTAAACAGGTTTTTTTGTAGTCTCTCTTAAATATCATTACTGTTATTGTAAATACCACTCTAATAACAGATGAAGCATTTTAAGATGTAGCACTGTTAAATTTTGACTAAAGTATTTGTAAATATAATGATTATTTTTCTGCAACCTCACATTTTAAATTTCCACAAAAATTCTCAAATGCAACTTCTAAGATCTTTCTGTATACATAGGAAACTTTGGCTATTCCACATACTAGAGAAAATAAAATGCGTGGTCAAAAAATGATGAGCAAAGGCTGTATAAAAAGCCTAGCTAAGGGGGATGATATAGCTCAGTAGCAGGGTCACCTGGGTTCAGTCCCCAGTACCTCCATTAAAATAAATAAACCTAATTAACCCCCCCAAAAAAACAAATAAAAATTTTTTTAAAAACTTAAAAAAAAGCCTAGCTAATAACTTATAAAGTAAGTTGTATTAGAAAATGTTCTGTAAAACAACTATACTTCAATTTAAAAAAAAAAAGGATAGTTGCCTTACAAGTTAAGGAGGAATAAATTTGATGGTTTAGTAATATCTTTGCATATATGAAAAAAATGTTTTGAATAACTTTGTAATGTATTAGCTCTATTAACATGAGGTAAAATCTTGTTGTGCTGCCTTAAAACATGAAAGGTCTATTATGCAAACACGTTTGAATGAACTTACTATGTTTATGAGGTTTTTTAAACAGATCTGAGTTTATTTTTATTTTATAAATTTGGAACATTTACCCACCTAATTTGATGCAGTGTATTTGCAAAATCTGCATCAGTATATGTATTGAAAGTTCTTGATAGGGCTTTTGAAGAAAAGGCACTGAGTTTAAAGTCAGACTTGAAATAAACAGCACCATATAATAGCTAGTACTTCGGGTATCTTTCCTGCCTTCTCTGAACCTATGGTTTCTTAAACTTAAAATGGAAATAATACAGCACCCACTTTACTACCTTATAGGTTCAAAAAAAGATAATGTAGGGCAGAGGTTCTCCAAGTGAGGTCCAAGGACCCCGAAGGTTCCTGAAAGCCTTTCGGTGCGTTTACAAGTATTTCCCCTTTGCCAAGTCCAAATTATCTTAATACATTTGAGCCAAGCAACATGTGGCAACAGACTGAATGCAGAAGCAGAGAAAAGAACCCAGCTGTATTTTTTAAAGCCTGGTATTAAAGAGGATTGCAAAATATAAAACAATGCCACCCTTCTCACTTTAAAAAAATAGCTATTTTTTAGAATAAGTGTGTTATTTATATTAGTATATAATGGGTTTACTATTATTTCAAATATATTTAAATTTTAAAAATTTTCAATGTTGAATATGGTAAATATTGGTAAATATAACCCACATAAACAACAGTTTTTCACAGTCCTTAATACTTTTCCTAAGAGTGTAAGTGGATCTTGAAACCAAAACTTTTTAGAACTGCTGACGAAGGGCAATGAATGGCTGAGTAGTCCCTATCAGAACAATTCTGCGGATAAAAACCATAAACTTGAAAAAAAGTTTAAAAAACAACTAGATAGCATTTGAGAATGACAAAAAGCAAGCAGGAACTGGAATGTGGTATACACTATGAAGAAGGAAATGGCCATGAATAATTTTCCATTTTTATGGTTTTTAGCATGAGAGAAGGCCCCAGCTGGTGACAT